TAACTGGCGGAGGGTCTCCTACAAGAAAATCACCTAATACAAAACACTCTAAGACAGACATATAGATTTGATAGCTTGTATACTCCTTAATTTTCTCACTATTGCGCAAGTGATTTCATAACACCTTGGTGTCTAACTCAGAGAATCTCGGGCGCGCCACCTAGTGTTTCTGTTGCTTAATAAAACTCGCACTTAGGAGTTTAGAACACGATAACATTACTATAACACTCGCTTACTCAAGCTAAAACATATTAACCTTTAAATTTCCACTTGGTGTGCAAGTGATTTCATAATGCCGTGGTGTCTGACTCACAGAATTACGAGCGTGCCACCTAGTGTTTCTGTTGCTTTAAAAATTGCACTTACGAGTTTACTGAGATCACCATTGCATTACAATCACACTCGCTTACTCGAGCTAAAACATATCAGACATATTAACCATTAATTTTCTTCTGTGCGCAAGTGATTTCATAATACCGTGGTGTCTAACTCACAGAATCACGGGCGTGCCCTTAGTGTTTCTGTTGCTTTAAAAATCGCTCTTAGGAGTTTAGAACACCATGGCATTACAGTAACACTCGCTTACTCAAGCTAAAACATATTAACCTTTTAATTTCCGCTTGGTGCGCAAGTGATTTCGTAATGCCGTAGTGTCTGATTCACAGAATCACGGGCGTGCCACCTAGTGTTTCTGTTGCTTTAAAAATTGCACTTAGGAGTTTAGATCACCATGGCATTACAATAACACTCGCCTACTCGAGCTAAAACATATCAGACATATTAATTTTCTTCTGTACGCAAGTGGTTTCATTACACTGGTGTCTCACTCACAGAATCACTGGCGCGCCACCTTGTGTTTCTGTTGCTTCAAAAATCACACTTAGGAGTTTAGATCACCATGGCATTACAATAACACTCGCTTACTCAAGCTAAAACATATTGACCTTTATATTTCCACTTGGTGCGCAAGTGATTTCATAACGCCGTGGTGTCTGACTCACAGAATCACGGGCGTGCCACCTAGTCAGGGGCACCCAACGTCAATTTTGGGAAAATATCTGTTCGGAAGACGATTTGAGATCTAGAATTTTCGGAGCGAGGTTGCCTCGGCGGCAGAATTATAACGCCGCGAAATGTATGCCAAAACTCTCACCATATTTGGGTGTAAGTAAGTCCCCACATTTGAATGGTGAGGTCATGGTCTTGTATTTACAACTCGTGGTTCGAAATTGAGAGGTGCAGCTGTTCGTTGTCTGTTCAAGAGCACCTAACAGGTGAGCAAGCTTTAATACGATTTCTATTTGAAAAGGGCAATTAGTGCTTTTGTTTGCTTTATAAATTGCGTTTCAAGCAGCAGGTGATCAAGGAATAGGGTTTCCGCTCAAATTTTTGTCCGAACCAGCTCGTTTTTTGCAGCTCGATTTACATTGAGGTAGCGTGTTCGCTTTTCGACTCAGAGCCAGGGTTTTCAGTGTTCTCTTTTCCTTTGTGAATTGAATTTTAAGCGGTAGTTGATCAAGACGTAGGGTTATATTCTCAAAACTTTTATCAGAACCAGCGTGTTCTTCCCAGGTCAATTTACATTGAGCCAGTCCTCACCTTCCGTGAGGAATGCAACGTATTTGCGGACCTTTTTTTCAGAATTTATTTATGTCTTTGGAGAGATTTTGTCAACCAGCATGTTTTTTTGCTGCTCGATTTACATTGAGACAGCCCAAAACTCCCGTAGGGAATGCAACGAATTTGCGGACCTTTTGTTTTGAAGACTATCATTATGCCTTTAAAGAGACTCTTTGTCCTGTGACACTCGCTCATTAGATCTTTGTATTTTATTCAAGTTTATATTTTTATACCTCTGATACACTCCGCCCCATTCTTGCGCTTTTCACACATTTTACTTTACACTAATTTTTTCTGGTGTATCATAATTACCACGCAAAATATTTTTCTTTTCCCTGATGACGCTGTTGCTCGGAAATTAATTGTTATTTTTATTTTCAGCAGTCGAAGACCTCAATTTAACTATATTTTTCTTTCTAACGTTTATAGTTTTGCTACAATGGAATTTTCCAAGAAACATAAGTGCTAACTTGCTCATATTTACCAACAAAGCTTCAAGACCTGTTGTGATTGTTTAATAAAAGTGAAAGCCTTAAATGTGCCAAAGTTGTTGTTTTGAACTTAGGTGCCATCCTTTTCTTTTGCGGAATCCATTTTAAACCTCTAAGATTATGAAAAAAATAACGCGAAGTTCTGAATATGCACATTCCACAAAAGTAAACGAATTCGCCTCGTTGGCACTTGCCGGAAGGTACCCCTAGTCAGTAGCCTTTTACCTGGCCGGATTTTCGAAAAGGTAAGTTTTGATCCTTATAATTTTCGGATCAATAGACTTTCAGTTAGGAAATCCGAACAGATGAAAATTTTTTAGGGGATAAAAATATGCTAATATCTACCGTTTAAATACTAAAATACGTTTAGCAATACCACGTTTGAGTGGTTTTGAACCATATTCTCGTTGGGTGCCCCTGCCTAGTGTTTCTGTTGCTTTAAAAATTGCACTTAAGAGTTTAGATCACCATGGCATTACAATAACACTCGCTTACTCGAGCTAAAACATATCAGACATATTAACCCTTGATTTTCTTCTGTGTGCAAGTGATTTCATTTTCCTGCAATACATAGCTTTTTCTTGACTGGATAACGAGTTAAATAGCGGCAGCGGCTAGATTTGGTAATTTTTGGCAGGCATTGGACACGTTTTGGCGGGATGACGATTTCACTATTCGACCGAATCCATTTGATCGCTTGGTCTTTGTGTTTCCTGCCTCTACTATGACATCTTTATGAATTTAGGCCGAGTTACTACTAACAATAGTATTTCCGCAAACCCGTCATTAAATAAAGGAATTTTTTTTTTATGTAGCCCGTTTGCACTCTTTTTACATCACTGACAGCAGATCATGCATAATAGTCACCAAACAAATTTAGTCAGATTAGACTACATCAAAATGCGTACCAGACTGCCGATGAATATTCCCACTTACACGTTTATCGTAATATCGTTAGGCTCAGAAACATTTTCAAGGCACAGGAAGACCGTCTTCTTCTCCTAATATCATCTAAACCTACCCAGACGCACACACCGTCCTTTGCGATCATCTCAAGAAGGCAATGCTGGCTTTATTCGATCAGAGTTCAAATCAAAAATGCACACTTCTTCCATATAAAGAAAAAGTCAATTATTATTTCCATTGTTTTGGTTAAATTTTTAACTATAGTGCGTTGAATGTACAAGATTCCATCAGAGAGAGGCCATAAACGTACAAGCACAACGCACCAGCACCAGCACCAGCTGGCACCAGCGGGTGCGTGAAGCGATTCACTGCGGAAACTGCAGTTCCCGGTGGGGCCAAACCACCCCATCGATGATGCATTAAGGGCGCGCAATGAGTAACGGGTAAAATCCAATATGGCGGCCAATTTACAATTTGAAGAAAGCCTTCAACAACCAATTCAACGTTGCAAACTTGATCTATTGGGCAGGGTTGATACTGGCGATGGTATACAACGGATCACTAAATTTTTCGGAGAGCTAGAAGCTGCTGTATCCGTGTTGGATACCAAATACAGTCATCGTGGAGGGAGATTTTCGACCGTGCAAAGATTAGTACCAGCAACAGGGATGGTTGCAAGGTCCCTAGAAAAGATTCACGCCAAGATAATTCGCCGCCTGAGTACAGGGCCAAGACTTGCCAATCCATGGCGTGGAGATTTTCAAATGGACATGCCGCAAGAGGTGTTTGAATGCATTTCTA